CCCAAGGCGGTATGCATAAATTGCATCTGTGTCATAAAACCTTGGGTTTACTTAGATATAACCTTCTCTGATTGTGGTAGCCGTTACTGCTGTGCCTGTGATGGAAACTGCTGTCTTCTTGATCTAAACGAGATCACACTTGTTGCAAGGCTATATGTTTTATAGGCACAAATGTTACAATAAAGCCAGTTTCTCTGTCCACAAGGGAGTATTGCAACTCAGAAATGGAGCCTCCTTCCTGCTTTGTGGTACACATAAGCAAAGCAGCAACCCACAGGAAACTATTCACCATTCTGAAGGCGGATGTATGTGTGGTACCTATGCTTTGTACACCAAAGGTTTTTTAAAAAGGAAAATACATCTCCGTTCTCTCTTTTCTGTGAAAGATGAAAAGAATGGCTACAGAATGGGTCCAAGACTGAAATAACAGCTGTTATTCCAGGATAGTCATCTATCGGTCTCTTTATGTGATGGGCTCAGGTAAATATAACTGTTCTGGGATAATGAGAAGTTTATTATAGTAGGGCTACAATCTTATTTTCTTTTCTGTGGATTGTTAATTGAAATTATGCTCCATTCCTCCTGTCTTACTGGCTAGGGAATGGGGTTTCCCATTTTAGGTGGGCAAGCAGTGGCAGGGGAAAAATGGGGCTTCTGAACAAGACAGCAAAATGAATGCAGTATTCTGATATGGGAGGAAATGCAGAAAAAAACATAAGGAAGTGGGAGTTTGCATTCTTTCTTATTTCTATCTGAAGTTTCAAGAAGAAACAAGACAACGTTTCCATGATTAGTGTTTTCTAAGGCATATTTTCTCAGAAGGACTAGTTGTCAGAAACAGGAAAGGGTTGTAGTGGGGTCAGCTAATATTCCCAAAGAGCTGTAGAAGAAGAGTTATCTGTTGTAGACTCATTGATGCAGGACAGTCTTCCTCAGATTTAAGGCCATCTTAACTGTCAGTGGCTTAGTTTCCATTTTGAAAGCTGGACTCCCATCTTGAAAGATTCAGGCTAGGATTCAGGCTAGGACTGCAGCTCTGATTCTTCTTTCACGTATGTTTTTTCAAGCAGATCTACTTGTCACATGACGCCTTGCAAACAGAAATGGGCCAATCCTTCTCACGGTTTCTGGAACTAGAGAAGCAGCTCATCTGTATTTCTGAAATCCTAATCATAGCAAACTTAGAGGATGACAACAAACAAATGTAACAATAAATGAAGTAGGGTGTTTGATATACAATAAAAATAACTGCAGTGTGCAGTTAGTTAAAAATAGTGTTTAGTGCTATCCAAAGCAGTGTTACTTTTCTGTAAAAAAGATTTCCATTGTGGCTTATGTACAGTTCATCAGGAGTTAAACCCATATATGTACCTACAGGTATAAGGGAGCTTAACAAGCATACAAAATGCTATTGAACCAACAAAGGAAATCATAACATGACCTGTCTGGTTTCTTTTTAGTGTGATGTGTGAATGCACTGTTTCTGAGATGTACGTGCAAATATATGATAAAAATAGAAGAACTGGAAAGCCACTGGATGGATAAAACCAGTCTTCAGATCAAGGAATGGGAACCTTTGCTGTTGAAGGTTTTCTCCCAGCATCCCTTATTGGCAAAGACCCAATGCTGGAATTTAGTTCAATAAAGGAAAGGGTTTTCCCCCCCAACAAATTCCAAATTCTGCTTTAAAGCAATTAGTCCGTTCCATGAGATATAAATGCATTCCAGAATAACTCCAGGTTATTTTATACAGTGGTGACACTAGGCAGCAAACATACTTAATACTCTTCCCTCCCCCTATTGCTCCCGGAAAACGATGTTGGTCTGAGAGAGAGCAACTGACTCAAGGTCAGCCAACTGGCTTTTGTTCCTAAGATGGGACTAGAACTCACAGTCTCCTAGTTCTGGGTTAGCACTTAACCACAACACTAAGCTGGCTTTCTTAATTATATTTTTTTCAACATATCCTCTTGCCATGCAAGTATATAATATAGTGTCTTCTTGCAGGACCTGGAAGCTTTTTACCTTGTTTTCCCTGCCCTATGGAATATTGTTGTTCCTAAGATTAGATTAGCTCAATTCTGCTGGACTTTAGGGAGGGCCTTTTCCTATGGATGTTATCTCGGAAGGGAGTATTAACAGGAGCCCATGATGTGCTTATTGTTCCTTCTAGACTGGTCTGATTCCTTGGCTGCTGCATCTGCTGCTATGTTTTATGGTTTGTGCATTTTTAAATGTTGCAAGCCTCCAGAATCATTATCGAGAGAGATGGGTGGCCATATAAATCCATTATATAAATCATTAAAAATGGCAAGAAACCTTAAAAAAAAACATCTAAGCATAACAGAAACTGGCCCTAAACAATGATTTTGAGTCATTATTAGAGCGGTGATGAATAGGCCACTTTTCAGTTGACTCTCTATTCTGTTCAACAGGAAACAATAAAAGGGTACAATTTATAAACAGGAAGCTTTCATCTGAAGTCAGAATACCTAGGAATACTTAAAGATTTTTTTTGTCTTTCCATCTGGCCCTGCATGTATTCAATCAACTTTCTCCCAAACTGCAAATACTCAATTTCAATAGCAATCAGGAGCACCAAGATACAACTACAGTTTGCATTTGTCCAAGGCAGTGGGATTTGTAGTCAAAGTATCTCAGAGTATCAGCTTGGAAAGAGTTGTTTGATAGCTTACAAGACCTAGAACGTGACTCTCATACCTATTGGTGACCGTTGGGGCATCCAGTGAGTTAATATTATGCTAAAATAGCTGCTTTCACCTGTAGACATTTTGACTGCAGCATTTTTGTATTGATTGTAGTTCCTGAGATATCTTCAAAGACAAACCCAGGTTACAGTGATGTTAATCAATGGTGTTGAGAGTGGGAATCACTGTCTTCCGAGCTTCTCATCCAGATGAATATTGTTTATTGCAGGGAGAAGTGTTGGAAGAAGAGGTTTGAAGTTCCCAACATGTCTCAGGACAATTTTTTTTTTGGCGGGGGAGGGGGTAGTGAGAAATTAAAGGGCATTTCAATCTAGCTGTCAGTCTTGAAGTCTGCCAGCATGATCTTGTGTTGCATCTCCCTAATGACAATCAGGACTGGAAAGGAACAGTGTTGAGACAATGCTGTGCACTGAGTGAAAAAAATATATATTTAGGAAAAATGTTGAAAGCAGAAGAGTTCTGAGTAGTACCTTCGCTTTCAAACATGGAACCCATACGTAATTTGTTAGGTTCTGGCTTTCTTTCTCTTGCACTTTTAAACACAAGAAAGACAAGTTTCTTCTGAGAAGCCTTTTGGTGACATAAGGGTATCTAGCCACACTCACCTCTGGATTCTGTCTTAAACCGCTTTCAGTAGCTGGCCAAGGTTACCATGTCCTGGAAACAAAGCCAATGCCACCACCGTAGATGGTATTTTGAAGCTCCATGGCCTTTTTAATCTGTCCTTTTAATGGTATAGCTAGAGGTGAACTTTGGGACAATAATCTAAAGGCCCAGAAAGAAGGACAGCAAAGAGATTAAAGTTCAGCTTCACCAGCTCACCACATCAGCCTTTATTTCTCCTTTTGGTCAAAAGCATTTTATAGAATGAGTATTTATTTTGTTATTTTTACTTTAAATATTTGTTTTTCATTTCATTTTTAGAGCACTCTTATTCCCAACTGATTGTTATATAAACACTTTTAAATGTGGAGTTCCCACATTTGTATTATATGAGTTCTTGTGTCTGTGAGTGTGAAACTACCAGTTCTTGATCACAAAAGTTGATCATTCATATGTGGAATGGCCCCTCATATAGTGGATAGAGTGATCTTTACAGAGTTGGTTCTCCCTGGTTCTGAAGATGATCTGGTGTGTTGAGGGCAATTTCTGGGTCAATATAAGCTTTGCCTTGGAGAGCAAAGACACTCCGAGAGATGCTTTCAAGAACAAGATTAGGGAATTCCAGGGGTGGTGGTGGTGAAGACAGCTTTACTTTCCCTTCCAGATGATTCTGTTTTTCAAATTCCACTGGGAACCATTTTTGCTTAATATGACTGTGTGTTCCTTCTCTGCAAGAAGATGCAAGCAGCTTGTTGCTTCCTGTTGCAACAGCTACTTGGGTGCTTCTGGTGACTTAGAAGATTCTTCAGAAGTGGGAGAGGATAGAATTAACCATAGGTTAAAAAAAATGCTGTGATTGTTTTCCTAACCTCATAGCTCTCCTGAAAAGTCATTCATGACTTTACTTGAACCATGTATACAGAAATATTGACATGCATTGTCTGAGAAAAGAGTCCAATAGTTGGGGGCTGAAGATAGATACTCCCTTCTTGGTTATAGAACTATTACCTCTTTCTGGCTCAACTTTCCTTTTATAGTCTAGCATTTTCTGCACCATTAATGTTTTTTTGCATTAAAAAAAAGCCAAATGCTGGACAGTTTGTTCTGTACACTCATAAAACTTCACCCTAACCCCAACTCTGTAAGATGGGTTGGGCTGAGAATGATTGGCACCAAATCACTCATTTAGCTTTCATGCCTCAGAGGGCTAGAATTCCCAGTGTCCTGGTTTCCAAGCCAGCACCTTAATCACTAGCTTAGACTAATTCTATCAGAGACAGTTTTTGTAGCAATAAATCAAGAAAGTTTGTTTTTAGCCAATACTTAACTAACTTTTTCTATCCTTTTTCTTCCCGGGAAAAAGAGATTCATCGCCAGCTATTGTTTGAGTTATCATCACAAAATATTACATTGAACTATAGAGGAAATTTTTAATTTTTTCAGCATGCTTCTTATTTTTAGTAGTCCAAACTTACATAGATCAGTATTGCCTAGTATTTTACCTACCAAATAATTCACAATTTATGAAATTTTGAATAATATCCTCAGACATAACAATGTCTAAGGCATTTAGTTAACTGGCATTGTACATCAGTTATATTTTCACCATATCTAAATTTATTGCTGCAATTATTTTCATCACAGGTGAAAAGTTAGCATGCTGAGGCCCAGAGTTCCTTGTTCTTTCTGATCAACCTGACTTGGCAAGATGTTTTCAAATAGGAGGCGATTCTGGGAAGGGTTCAATCACCCCCTGGGTGAATCTTCTCTGGATTCTCCAGGCAGTGTAGTACTGCAGGCTCTCTATGACTATCAGTACAAATCTGAAGATGGGAGGCAGGTGATCATTGAGGAAGGGGAGCTCTTCCACCTTGTGCACAAGGCCAATGAGGATTGGTGGCAGGTGAAGCGGTTCGGCCAGCCTAAGCAGAAGAGGCCCATCTTTGTCCCAGCATCCTATGTGGCTGAAGTGACCTATGATAAAAGAACAGGCCTACAGCAAAATGTCATCTTGCATCCTGGCATCCATTCAGAAAAGGATGGAGGTCCAGGTAAGTTGTTTGTTTGTTTGTTTTTGAAGTTCAAGGGATTAAATCAGGATTGGGCAACTTGAACTCCAGGAGTTGGAATTCCCAAGCAACTTTATCCTATCTCTGGAGTCCCCACCACCACAATAGCTGAACATTGGATGGACATTCCCATCATTTTGGGGTGGAAACATTTCACACCCAAAAAATGCAACGTATTCAGGGGATCAGACATCCTGGTTTCAGAGGAAAAGTGCCATATCACTCCAAATCAGTCAAGTATAGCATAGAAAATGATCAGTATTTGTCACTCACTGCAACTCAGGTACCCACAAGTAAACAAGCATGTTGGAACTGTGAGAAACCGAAACGGCACGAGATGGCAGCAAAGAGTTATAATTTTGTGAATAGGCCTGTTGCCATCTAGTGGTTGTATAGATTTTTGAAGCCAAGACCTGCTAGCCTTTGTGTATAGCAGGGGTAGTCAACCCTTTTATACCTACCGCCCACTTTTGTATCTCTGTTAGTAGTAAAAATATTTCTAACCACCCACCGGTTCCACAGTAATGGAGATTTATAAAGTAGGGGACAAAACCCCTACTGTCCACCATGAAAGCTGGAACGCCTACTAATGGGCGGTAGGAACCAGGTTGACTACCACTGGTGTATAGATTCCCCGCCCCCCTTTTGGAAATTTGATTACCCTTAGTAAACACAATTTCTAAAAGCAAAGGGGAAAAAAAATCACATTCCTACCCCTAAACTTAGGAAAACAGAAAATTGTTTGTGGGAAAGCAGACCAATAAGATGATGGCCGGCAGTGGTGGGATTCTACCAGTTTCCCTACCAGTTCGGTGATCGCACACCTCACGGGTTTGCGCGCATGCACACCTAACGCAGGTGCGTGCACAGCTTTCCAAACACCAGCTGAGGCTCTGCCGTGCCAATCAGCTGAAAGGATAAAGAACAGAAAAGCGCTGGGGCAAGTGGGAGGGTCAATCCGGCGCTTTTCTTTCTCCTCTCAGCTGATCGTCGGAGCTTTTTGCTACCGGTTCAGCCAACCCAGGCCGAACCGGTAGCATTTGACCACTGATGGCTGGCCTGTGACACTTAGTCAGTAGTGACAGTGACAAAGAGAATTCCTGGACAATAAATAGAAAGATTGTTAGCTAAAAAAACCCTGACAATTGAGAGAGTGAGTTAGAAGAAAAGGACCAAACATCTTTAAAATTTCACAGTGTCACTGATTCCCAAAGATTCCCACTGACACTGAACAATCAGAAACAGCAAACTTATGTCAATGGGCTGGACCCTCAGGAGCTTAGAAACAGAAAGGGATTGCTTCAAGGGCTATGATATAGATCTAAGCAGAGAAGATTTTCAGGACAGAGTTTTCATATTCTGTTTCCACTGGAAGTCTCAAAAAGACTTCGGCAGCCTTTCCCGAACTTGAAAGTTAAGACTGGTAGGGCTTACTTCACACTTGGATTTTCACCACGACTGTTGGATGGACTGGAAAGTGAAAGACCTATTATAGGAAAAGGCTATGGCTAGCTATAATTGCAATGCTGCCAAGAAAAAAAAATGGATGTAGTCCCCAGGAGTCGGGAATTATTCCAGAATGTCTCTTTACTTTTCACTGCAGACATTCCCAAGGTGGGAGTCAGTATAAAATCAAAACAACAGTAGGCAAAACCCAAAGGTAATTTTCCTCACACTCAGGAAATGTCTCCTTAATTTGGATCAACCCTTGTTGAACTAAAAGCTTCACTGAACACAGAATGTGTGAGGCAGTGGTGGGATTCAAATTTTTTTTTACTACCAGTTCTGTGGGCATGGCGTGGCTTGGTGGACATGGCTTGGTAGGCGTGGCAAGGGAAGGATACTGCAAAATCTCCATTCCCTCCCCACCCCACTAACCTGCTTTCCAGCTCCGTTCTCCTGTGCAGGGCAACAAAAGAAGAGACAGCCAATCAGCTGGGACTCGGGAGGTAGAGAATAGATGGGGCGGGGCCAGTCAGAGATAGTATTTGCTGGTTCTCCGAAGTACTCAAAATTTCCGCTACTGGTTCTCCAGAACTGGTCAGAACCTGCTGAATACCACCTTTGGTGTGAGGAAAGGCAAGAATTATCCTTTCTGATTCGTCTTTTCTTCCTTGCAGAATGCTTGGAAATGTCTCATTCTCTGGAGGATCTTTGGGTGCAGCCATCCTCATCATCTTTCCACACAGATCTATTGTCCTGCCGCAACCTTTCTGCCAAGATGAGAATCCGCCAGCTGTCTCTTGGTAGGCGTCACAGCCTGAGTGCCCTGTCTCAGATGAAATGCAAAAGCACAAAGCAGTGGCAAAGTTCAGAGGAAGAGCTAGCAAGAAGTGAGACATATTATAGGGTGAGTTCAGCCTTTTACTTTTCTCAAACTTCATTTATAAGTTTATGTATTCTATCTATACAGCTGCCCATTGCAGACATAACTCTGGGCAGCTAACATGGAATAAAAATAAAATAAAAAACATCATAACAAGATAATATTAAAGCAGCTGGGATAAACCCAAACAGCACTTTCAACATTAGAGAAGACCGTGAAGCACTGTGAAGCGGTATATAAGTCTAAGTGCCTTTGCTATTATCATGACACAGGTAGCATTTAGACACATACAATATACAATAATGTGATTCAAAGCTTGACAGCTTCTTTTAGATATAAATATATGGTACCCAAGAGACGAACAGCAATAAAAATATATTAATGATTATAATTGTTTTAATATTATAATTTAACACTTTTTAAAAAGTATTCAGATCCAACTAAAATGCATAAGAAAAAGAAAAACATCTAGCAACTACTCCAACTGGCCGTTAAAGCCTACTTGCTTATCAAAGATTTTTCTATTTTTTAAAAAATTGCAAACGAATATTGTCAAGGGAGGTTTTGTTCCATATGTGGTGTCAAACCTGGAATTTAGAGTGTTTTATGGCTTGTGGTCACAATCTGTCTGTGATGGTGGGTTTGCAGTGTCACAGAAGAACTGTCCTAGTAGACATAGGCAGCAGAGAAAGTACTTTCTGAATCTTCCAGATCAGGGATTCCCAATCTCTGGGCCACAGCTCAGTATTGGGCCACGACCCATTCAGAACTGGGCCACAGAAGTGGGCGGCGAGTATGTGTATGCACATGTGCTCACCTGCCACTAACACAGAACCATCCACTTCCCCCTCCCCACTGATCCGCAAAGCTGGAAAGTTTGGGACATGCTGCTCCAGATGCTTCCTTATTCACCCATCTTATCTTATTCCTCTCAGCAGCTGAGCCCAGTTCTAAACAAAGCATTGGGCCACAGCTACCCACCATTTTAAACTCCTAAGGATGCCTGGAGGCTTATGTGTGCCACTGAACATTATTGTATAAAAAGGTTATATTGGATCCAGCACTTTGCGCCATGCTACCTTCCCATTCAATATTAAATGCTTTTATAAAAACAATGGTCAGAGTGACTCTAAGAACCTAGTCAATGTCAGGGGAACTGTTGGAGGTGCATTGCTACCTACGCACACAAGGTTGCCATCAGAATGCCCTTGAACATAAACCAAATTTTTCAGAACTTGAATTCTATCTTTTTGTAACTGACTCATTTCTGGGTTTCAGTCATTCATCTAATTTTAGAAAGAAAACTCTCCTTGTTGTTGCTTTTGTGCTGAAAATCACACAATCTTGCTGATCTTTCATTAGAGCATCCTGAAAACGTATGTTAGATTTCAATCTACCCTCTACTCACTCTGGACATAGTACGAGCAATTTCATGCCTTATGTTTCTGTTTGCACATTCTGCAGCCTAATAGTTTTGGGAGCTTTCCAGCAGTGAGTGAGAGCTAAGTCTTTCTCTGGACATCAAAATTCAGGGCCTAATATTTAGGCATCTGCTATCTCTCTGAATGTGGACTTTCTATGAAGTAGCTTTTTCATAAACCTGTCAATCCTACATCTTTACTAATGAATTCTACTGTCTATTATGTTAAGAAGTATGAGGCTGGCTTAAGTATGCCAAATCTCCTGCAATTAGTCCTCTTTCTTAGGGGCATTATAATAGCAATAGCACTTAGACTTATATACCACTTTACAGTGCTTTTACAGCCCTCTCTAAGCGGTTTACAGAGTCAGCCTGTTGCCCCCAACAATCTAGGTCCTCATTTTACCCACCTCGGAAGGAGGGAAGGCTGAATCAACCTTAAGCTTGGTGAGATTCAAACTGCTAAATTGCAGGCAGCTGGGAGGCAGCAGAAGTAGCCTGCAGTACTGCACTCTAACCATTGTGCTACCATGACTCTAATAAGCAAGATTAATTTCACTACTGTTTGTTTAATCTTTTGTGTCATTTATTCAGACTAAATGACAGTCATAGGCCATGGCCAAGCAGGATATTCCCCAGTTATCCTAGGTAAAAATGCTGCAAGTGAGCAGAAGTAAAAATTGGTTTCACCCTCAGAGCTGTAGAAGCTGGTTTTGATATTAGGTACTCCTCAAATCATTTGACTGACTTTCCTTGGCTTCTTCCTAGAATTCTTGTTCCAGCATTGTGTCCAAATATCAGTTTATTTATTTACTTTATTTGTTAAATATTTTTGCCATCTATATTGCCGTGGGGCTATTCCAGGTAGCTTACAACAATAAAAAGGAAGAGATGAAAACAGAACAAAAATAAAGTAATAGAACAATAAAATAAATAATGAAAAAGAACTCAGTGAAAATACATCAGCATTGTTATATCTGGGAGGACGGTTCAAGAACAGAGGCAAGACTCAGATAGTAACTAAAGCTCTTTATTTGTGACTTCAGATCTGAGCAACTAACCCCAGCCGCAGCAGCCCCTTTTATAGGGCTGGCTGCGGCTAGGCAGCCAATGGAGGCGATTTGAGTTTGCCGCTCTTGGCAGGGCCAATCGCGGCAGCCCGTTTACTGGCCAATTGCATCAGTCTATGGCGACCAATCACAATCGGCTTTCAGCGGGCCAATCAGATTTGCAGGCTACGAGCCTGCTAGTCCGGAACACCCCTCCCCTTTCGGTTCCGTTTAAGGGGTGGAGTAATATAGTCTCGCAGGTAGGCAGGTCTTCTCACCTGTCTGCCTGACTTACGCAGTTCCACTTGACCCTGTTCAAACCCGGGTTCAGATGGACTGCTTGCTGGATCAAACAGGAACGGTGAACCGGTGTCATGGTTAGGGCTCTCCTCTGGTGCTCCCGGGGTGATGGAGTCCTCAGCCTCACTGTTACTGCCATGGCTCCCGGGGCTCGCTGAACCTGCCTGGTTGCTGCTTCTTGGCGAAGCGTTTGACTGTCCAGTCTCAGTTGCAGCTGGTGAGTGTTGCCAACCATGGTGCGGTGATCTCGGTGTTATCTTGGAATAAACAGGTGTTGGTTCTAATTCTGAGTTCACTGCTTCCCCTCCCCCCCTAGTGTCAAAGTTAGGGTCAGGGTTGGAAGATGTGGTTAGTCTGGAGCGCAGTTGGTCAATATGGCGTTTTCATGGTCTGCCATCAGTGGTGAGTAGACGGTAGGAGTGGGGACCCATAACTTGAGTTACCTGGGCAGGAATCCAAAGGGGGTCCCCAGAAATTTTTTTTGCGAAAACAAGGTCTCCTACCTTGAAAACACGGTGCTTGCTGCTGGAACCCAGGGGCTTTTCCGGGGTGTAGGCAGGGTGCAAATGATCTAGAGGCGATCTGAGTTTCCTGGGCATCAGGAGTTCAGCTGGGCTCTTGTTGGTCATGCTGTTTGGTGTGATGTGTTGCAGGAGCAGCATTCTAGTGACTTTGTCATGGATGTTGCCTTGATCCATTTTCTGCAGGGTTTTCTTTGTAAACTGAACCATTCGTTCAGCCCTACCGTGCCGCAGGATGAGCCGGCGATGTGAGTGCGTGTCGGATGCCCTGTTCCGCTAAATACTGTTCAAAGGCTAAGGCAGTAAATTGGGGCCCATTGTCAGAGACCAGGACATCTGGTAACCTGTGTGTGGCGAAGAGTCTGTTCAGTTTTTTAATGACCGCCTCAGTAGTGGTTGCTTTCATCTTATTGACCTCAAGCCAGTTTGAGTAGGCATCAACAGTTATTAAGAAGGTATGGCCTCTCGTAGGTCCCGCAAAGTCAATATGAATGCGAGACCAAGGACCCCTGGTTGTTTCCCATTCTGTTGGTGGGGCTTTAGGTGGCGCTGAGTGGTTCTCCTGGCATTTGTTACAAGAGGCGACCCAGGTTTCGATTTGTTTATCTATACCAGGCCACCAGGCGTAACTTCTTGCCAGAGCTTTCATACGCACGATGCCTGGGTGTCCATCGTGTAGCATTTGAAAGACCCTTTTTTGTAACTTAGTTGGTACAACAACTCGGTCTCCCCACAAAACGCACCCTTTTTGTGAAAAAAGTTCCATTTGTCTGTTTTTAAACGGCTTAAACAGTTCCTTAGTGTCGTAATCTGGCCATCCCCTCTCCACCCAGCCAAGAACTCGTGCCAAACAAGAGTCTTTTTTGGTTTCAAAGGCGATGTCTTGAGCCGTTAGTGGAGGCGATGGCATTGTCTCTATTTGCAGTACCGGGAGTGTGGGAGCTGGGTCTTCCTGTGGCTCGGGTAGCGGTGAGCGGCTCAAGGCATCTGCGTGGGGAATAGATTTCCCGGGGCGGTATTTTAATTGATAGTCGTAGGCGGCGAGAAATTCTGACCATCGCGTCATTCTGGGGGAGAGAATGTGTGGAGTAGGTTTGTCGCCCGCCAGGATCCCAAGTAGTGGCTTATGATCCGTTATAATAGAAAACGGTCTCCCATAAACATATTCATGAAATCGTTTTATTGCAGAGACAATAGCAAGGGCTTCCTTATCTAATTGGCTATAGTTTCTTTCTGTTTTTGATAGAGTTCGTGAAAAAAATGCAATTGGTGCTTCTGAGCCGTTTGGTAGGACGTGGCTCAGGATGGCCCCTACCCCAAATGGTGAGGCATCACACGTGACAGTCAAAGGTAGTGTCTCATTATGCTGAATTAGTACTGCCTTTGAGGTAAGGAGGTCTTTTACTTGCTGGAAGGCCTGTTCCTCCCAACGTCCCCAAATCCAGGATGCCCTTTTATCGAGTAGTCTATGGAGGGGCTCAGCAACAGTCGTCTTCTGGGGTAGGAAGATGTTATAAAAGTTAATAAGTCCCAGGAAGGCTTGGAGGTCGGTTTTGTTCTTGGGTCTTGGGGCATTTTTGATAGCTGCCAATTTTTTTTCTGTGGGGTGGATTCCTTGTATGTCAAGGAGGTAGCCAAGAAACTCCACCCTTTCTGTGCAAAGCTGGCACTTTTCCTTCTTAACCTTGGGGCCAGCATTTTTGAACCTCTGTAGGACTGTTCTGAGACGTTTTT